TGGCAATCATGGGCATGCGCAAGGATGTAACCGGGAATTTGTGCAGGCGGCTCACTACACACCGAAGATGCAATCTCTGATCGTAGATGCGATCCAGCTTGCGTGCCCCCTCTTTGCACGATGCAGAAATCCATCTTCCGATCGGAATCGTGCAGGCACCGTCTTGGTAATTTGCGCGGGATTTGACCTCGACGATCCCGTTATATCTCGAGAGGCGAATGGATCCATCATGCGACCACCGCCGAGCGGACTTGGATGTCCAGCTTGTGTAGACAACGTCAAAATGAAGTCACCAAGTCGCAGCCGCAATCTCCGACGGTGTCGGGGGCCACCGGCTGGCGCCAGGTGAGTGTAGATCTGCCCAACCTATACACTTACCAGACATCTTCGGACAGGCCCCGCCGGCTGCGCCCGCGCCGGCGGAGGGGGCGCCTGCGCCAGCTGCTGCGGCACCAGCGGTGCCAGACGAACTCCTTCCTCGAGGTGCCAGCTCCAACAGACATGCCTGCTACGCGACAGAGACCGTGGGGGGCTGCGCGCGCCTCTTCCCGCGCGTAGATGCACTCGTGGCCCGACCGTGGGCGCTGGTAGTTACGACGTGACCAGAGGTGCGCGCGGCCCTGGCGCCGCGCGTTGCTGGGCTGCGCGGACGAGAAGAAAGTGGTGCTGATCCACGACCTCCCCTGCCTCCAGCGGAAGCGCGGTCACGTGCAATAATGCTTGGCCGGTCAAGATTTTGCAGTCAGATGAGTCTCCAAAACTTGCGGGATTACGATCCGGCGGCCTCCGTGTTATGGAGTTGTGAAAACTCCACCCACGGTGGAACCGCGCTTCTGAACCGACGAGGCGTGCAATTCTTTCACGCGTAGGAATAGATCTTGTACGGTTGAACATAATAAAAAATGTGTCGACTCATGCCCTGAGTGCAGAGTGTGGGAAAAACCGGCAACCCTCTTATGCCATCGATCAGCCCCCAAACTCAACGAGGAAGTCGAATGTGATTTGCTGTTTCTTCAGCAACGCATTGTGTTTCACATCGTCGATCGATGCATTCGTTGGGCTGCTGGCCAAGAGATTGCCGACAGCGCTTTGCGTGCGGCATTTGGGCGCCGATCAAAATTGTTGGATGCTGCATGGCCCGGCTACCCTGACGTACTCCGACGGATCGGGCGCCCTCAACACTGATGCCGCCAAGGCCATCTTAAATGCTAAGGACACGGAGCTTCGCGCCCGTGCCCGCGGCCTGCGCGCCGCCGCGATCGAGGCGCGCAACGGCGTTTTAAGACGCGCCCTGCACGTCGTGGAGGAAGACCTCAAACGACAACATCTCATTGGTCTTCGCGCACCTACTGCACGAAAGCCTGTTTTTCTGCAGTGCGTTTACGATTTCTAGCGGAGTTTCGCCATAGCAAGCACTGTGTGGCCGACAGCCCGCATGTCTACCAGACTTACCGGTACTAGACTACCAACATGGCACGGAAGCGTCCGATCACCATTGGTTGCAGAAAATGAGGCAAATGAGCATTGAACTTATTGCCCAGGCCAAGGCAGTAGCTGCAACAAACGGAGCCTTACGCGCGAAAACGACAGCAGCAGGACACCACAATCATCAGCCAGGTGATCCCGTAGGCTACCGCCGTCCGACAACGACACAGGACGATTGAGGTGGATGGAACGGTCCATGCCCTATCTCCCGGAACAACCCTGACCGAGCTCAGGCTGTAGTCCAAACCGGCGGTCGGGAAGTCCTGGTGCAGTATGCAATTTTGCTACGCACGCTACGCATCGTGGTGCTTATGGTCCGCGAGATCGGCTTTGATAGTACGGCCATTCGCACAGTCTTGGACTTTACCGCGAGTTCGCCGTCGGGGACCCTGTTATGGATTCGAATGCCAACCGACCGAGCAAGGAAATTTGCGGATGACATCGGCGAGCCGCCCCTCGCAGAAAGTGCAGATCGCCCTGCATTTCTTTATCAGAAAGTTCCTCCGGATAGACAACGTAGTAACGGTCCAGTTGGCCAAGAGCATCCACGGGTTGCTTGCAGCGCCATGCGCTGATAGCTGCACTCTGGTTTACTATGACATCGACGTTGCGCCAGGGTCCCTTTAGTACGCATCCGAAGGCCAAGCCCTCGATATATCCACGATAGCACTGGGACCACACATACGCGAATAATCCAATGTCGTAATTTCTCGAAGCTCTTCGCTGTTTTTGACGAAGACCTATCTAAGTTTGAGGATCTGGCGGACACGCCAGCCTCGGGCGGCAACGCCCAAGAGGAATATTGACCTCCAGCACCAGCCGTCCTTGACGGCAGGCTACGACAATCGCTGAGGAGTCGGAGACGGATTTGGAAGCACATCTCATGGAAACGCGGTACATTTAATTACAAGAGGAAAAGGAACTACTTAAGACCCGTTCATGGAAATCCGTGTGCACTGTGGTCACTGAGATGGTTATAAACAACCAAGCACTCGTGATTGTTGCCAGTGAGGAGCACGGGTCCTTGCGAGAGATAGGCTGTGCTCATCACCACGACGCGGACGAAACCTTCCCGGTGCCTTAGACTACATACTAGGGCGAAGCCTACGATCCCGATGCGGACGAATACGGGCAGTTTGTTGAGCCATGCATCACTACTGACATGGCTCAAGTTGTTCTGACATAGCAACAACGCGAGTCATCATGCAACGACCAAAGTATATATGTGCGATGTGTGTGTATGTCTCAGCCGCAGCAGAAAGAGCTGTGGCTGTCAGAAGGAACGACCTCCTGGCGACGGCAGAACTGCAAGCCAACTCGGCCAAGGATCTCCAAGGCCTTGTGCGCATAACTTCCATTTGTTGTGATAGCACGTGCTTTACTTTGCAGGGCGCCAGATGCTGCAAACATCATTGCATCCAGATATGTGTACACGTGGAAGTTCGTGGAGAACGAACATGGCGAGATAGACCGAACCATGCGACTGCGTCTTGTCCTTCGTGGTTTCATGGGCGGTCGAAGTAGTCGAGGTTCAAACCTTCTCAGGCGCAGTTCGTCGAGCAAGTCGGAGATTGCTCGCTAGCGCGACCGCGCGCGAGAAACAATGGAGCATGGCATCCATGGGCGTCGACGAGGCTTCCTTGAAGGGTCTGACTTACCGTGAGTTGGCCGAAGCCGCTGGGGAGAAATATTGCATTGTCTGCTTTGTTCGTCCGCCAGTCTCAGCCTCGGTGCTGCGTGCGTCGCCCGGCTTTGCGTCTCATGACGAATCAAATCACTGCCTGCAGTGCTTGAAGCCAGGCACCTGCACCAAAGATGCCCATGGGCACTCTCGCTGAAACTAAGGGCCATCACGCGAGGCTTTGGGCTAAACCCGCGTCATATGACGAAGCATTTGCCGTGGGTCCCAACCTAGCAGCCAGGCGCGTTGGCGACATTAACGTGGCCGGATTGGAAGATACTGTAGACAAACCTGTCGGGCGCAGAGAATCCATCGGCGCATGAAAACTTAACGAACACTGCCATACTACGTGCGTCGTGCGCTACACTAAGACAGGGGTGAATATATTAAACAACTTCGTCCGACACTAATGCGTTGCGCTTTCGACATGGGTTAGGATCTCGCGTCAGGCCCCTCCCCTCCCGACTTCGAACGGAGTTGGGGTGCTAGATTGTATAGCGAACGCTATATCCGCCGCTGCCTTGGCTCAGGGTGTCGCTATCCCATGTCCTGTTTCACGTCGGTGAGACACTATCGGATCATTTTATACAAAGGCCACGTCTAACAAGTATCCACCTTTTCATGTCATGGCTTGTCTCTTACTTCTCGTCTTGCTTGCCATCGAAGGATTAGTTGTGGGATGCCTCTGTGCGTCGCCGACATTATCCTCATAGCAGGGTTCCCAGCTTATTACCTCATGGTCAAGCCCCTGACCCTTGCTGTCCACACTCACAACAGACTCCTCGTGGGGTGGGTGTGCGGTGGGGGCGAGGTCGGCGGCGTTGATGGGATTCGGGCCACAAATTGTCGGGTGGGGGGTCCCAAGAACTAGATTTCGCGTGGGGTGGGGGCTTTGGGACGTAGTAGGGGGTTGGTGGGGCCGAGTCGATTCCTTGTGGGGTGGGGGTGCCGGGACGTGCTGGGGGCGAGGTGGGCGGCGTTGGTGGGTTTCGAGCCAGAAATTGTCAGGTGGGGGGTCCCAAGAACAGAATGCTCGTGGCATGGGGGTGCCGGAACCTGGTGTGGGCGTGGTGGGGGCGGGGTGGGGAGCATTGGTGGGTTTCGGGCCAAGGATGCGGAACACGTGCCGTGCCGTGTTGTGCCTTCCCGTGCCGTGCTTGCGGTCCAGGGTGTGGGAAAGTGTGTCGTGCTTTGGCGTCCTCTGCCGTGCCGACCAACATTTTTTGATCATGCATCATTTGTGTTTCAGTTCCCCATGCTCATGCATTTCATGGTTTGATTTTTACATTTCGTACAATTTCCATGACAGCCGCTTGCCATGTTGCAGTCAACTGCCGTTACCTTTCATCGTTTTTTTGTCAGGTGCCTTGCGCTGCTTAGCTCTGCGTATACGGACGCTGGTCTGCACGGTCTGTCCCTTGTTGTTCGCACGCATCTTGATGTGTGGCGTCTTCGATGTTTCTCAAGTCATGGTCTCGCCACATGTGGAGACGCGCTCGCGTCTACAGGTGAGCTTATCGCAGGCTTGGGCCTGCTAGCTCTCACGCGCTTGTGAAACACGTGCGTGGTTGTACTGGATGTGTATACGTATGCGTTTGTTTCAGGAAAATTGGGATGCTCAGCCGGCGTTGACAGCGAGGACTGCTTACACATCGAGATCCCCAGCCGAAGTCCTTTGGAGATAGCATGATCCCCGTTGTGTGGGTTGCTCTTGGAGGGTCATTGTTATCATCGCCAGCGTGGCCATTGTCTACGCGGGCGAACCGAATCAGTCAACAGTGGCTGGCTGGGAGCTGCAGGGGCCTTTTGCGTTCTGTTTCGCTCGTTCGTGCGCAGGCTCATGCACGCGCAAGCGGGTGGGGTGCCATGGACGCGGGGCAAGATGAGGCCTATGCCCATGCCTGCCTGACGCGCCCAGCATGAGACAACTGTACTGCACCCTTGTGCTTTTATAGAACACTTGAGAGGAGGGGGGTGATGGTCCGTACCCGCATCATTCAATCCGATCAGGTATCCCAGGGGCCACCGTCCAGCTTTCCGGAGAGAAGGGAGGTGGGATGTGGGGAAAGGAATCAAGGTAGGTGCGCTCGCGCATCCTACCCCTCCCGGCCATCCCGTTCCATTCAGTGTTTTTTTCTTTGTCCGCCTACGCGTGTCACTGCGAACCTGAACTAAAAAAAAACCCATCGTGTTGTGCGCAATCGGGAAAGGGGAGTTGCGTACTTTGGGGGACTAGCAGGAGGATGAACAGGATGAAAAGGAGGGTTAGGAAGGATGAAGATGAGGATGAACATATTGAAAGAGGGAAGGTGCGGAGGGAGCAAGTGAGGGGGGCATTGATTGACTGTGCTGAAAATGCGATATTGTGCAATCGTGCCCCTTCCTGCCATCCTGGCCTCTCCTTTACATTTGAACTGATGAATTTCCGCTCGTGCTGGTGCTGTCACTCAATCTCTTGTTCATACTTGTGGCCGTGCTTGTACCCACACTTGTACTCACAGCACTTGCCATACCCATCCAATTTTACTTCGACACGTGCCCGTGCTCGTGCCCGTGCTCGTGTTCCAGCTCGTGTTGGTCAAACCTCCCGTCACATGCATCAGCATTTGCATGCTCACCCTCATATTGGTACTCGGGTGCTGAGTTACACCCGCTGTAGTAACCTTGCTCGTACTTGTTCTTGTACTTGTTACACTTGTATGTGAGGCGCTGCATTTCTTTCGAAATTGCCATGCTTTGCCCAATTACGCTCTCTACTACCCTACCACCATGAGGCAAGCACAAGACATCTTAGCAGCAAGCTCTTACTAATATGTTTGCTGAGAGATCAGTGCAAACATCTGGCCACTCCAGCTGGTGCCACAAGTGCATATCGGGCACTTGAGCTGCGCTTGGCCAACCACGGTTGACGTCCCGCCCACCACCTCAAATCAGCTTTAACTTGTGCTACCATACTCCGCCAGTTCCATTCGCTCCCGGGGGGCAAGCGAGGTCCTGGGAAGCAGTCATGGTGGTGGCGGAGGTGGTGTGGCCGCGTTTGACAGCCAGGGCATGCCTCACAGTCTGCTAGATTATATTCCCCACAAGCAAGACCGATGTCGATCCGATCGACCCTACCCGGTGCCGATTTTGCCCGTTGCGACCCGATTCGATCCGTCTTTCCTTCGATCCGATACGGCCCGATGCTTGCATGCGCTGTTCTGTATCGTGACGCCGCCGATCCGAGCCAATCTCCTCTCCGTGCCGATGCGTCGTGGCGCTCTTGCAGTGCATGGGCTCACCACCAGTTTGCGCGAGCAGCGCGTGCCAGGTAGCGAACCTGCTCGACAACGCCCTGGAGGCGGCCTGGTCTGCTGGGCCCAGGGTCGCGCCAGGGGCTTGGAGCCAGCTGCGGGTCTGAGGTGCTGGGTTCGAGAAGGTTCGAGGTGCTGGGTTCGAGGTGCTGGGTTCGAGGTTCGAGGTGCTTGGTTCGAGGAGGTTCGAGGTTCTGGGCTTGAGAAGTTCTTTTTGCCTTCGTCGGCCTCATGGGGGCTGGCTTCGGGCCCCGGGGCCGTCGAAACCGGAGCCGGGGTCCAGATGGATCTCAGAGGCGTCGGGGGACTGATTTCGAGCGGATCTGGCTTCATCACTCCCTCCTGACCGATGTGCTGGGGTCCCATCTAGTTCAGACACCCTGGCCGCCTCCAAGCAGCTGTGCAGCACGGTTCTCCTCGTCACCATGTGGGCCAGCACCTCCCCTTGTGAATGGCGCCCCCCTGCGGTGCTCGAATCATGTTGCGACTGGGGGGGGCGACCTTTTGATCTTGAGCATCCACGCTTCGCAGTCCCTCCAGGCTCGTCGTGAATCCTTCGATTATCTCTCCAGCCAGCCCAGTGGCCTCTGAAGGGCGCCTCTGGGGCTGGGGCTGCAGAGCGCGCCAGGAAGCACGAGATCCTGTGACGGCGTTAATGTTCCACAGTTGAATGCCGCAGGGTATTGCATGTTTAGAGTTCTTCCAGGAGGGTGCGCCTTGGGGCCTTCCTGGGTCATCTCAGAGGCGTCAGTGGTCCATCTTCGACCGTCTCGGGCTCTTGGGGCCCTCTTCGGTGCCTCTTGGGGCCGTCCTGGTAGACGGTAGAACTGTGATGGACCCTGCGGAGGCAGGGTCCAAGGAGTCTGAACGGAACGAAACGGGCGGATTGTATAGCGAACGCTATATCCGCCGCTGCCTTGGCTCAAGATAGCGCTTTCCCAATTGCCTGTCTCACGACAATGAGACACTACTGGATCTGAGCGTCGGATAAAAAAGGCCACATCCACCGACTATCCACCTCTTTATCCCCTGTCTTGTCTCTTATCTGTCATCTTGCTTGCCATCAGAGGATCAGCTATGGGAAACCTCGATACGTCTCCGACGTGATCCTAGAGTAGGGGTCTCAGCTTATTTCCTTATTGATCAGCCCCTGACCCTTCCTTTTTCACTTTTTGCGGAGCTGGTCTTTTTTGATGTGGCTGGCTCATACGTCGGGTGTTATGTACATGACATTTTACCACGGCATTGTGGAGTACCCGATTGCGCCAGCTATCACCCATCCCATTCCCAGTAGTCTTCAACCAACTGGTAATTTACATTCCGATACCTCTATCTCCCCACCGCGTGGCAACACGCCGCGCACAGACCAAACACCTATACCCATCCACAAACGGACGGCCACGTCAGACCGAACAGCCTGTTACAACCCCGCCGGTGCGACAAACACCACTTCTACGAAACCTGACATCATCAGTTACAATATGGCCATGCAGTATGTCAAGGTTGCAACCTTTGGAAGCAGATGGGTGTGTCTAGGTCTTGCCGTGGGATACGTGCGAGGAATAGGAAAGGATAAAAAGGCCACTCGGGACCCCTTGTGGGGCCCCGCAGGCAACGTACCACTCCGCGAATTTATTCGTAAAGTACACGCATGGTTCAACGCCACGAGCGGAAATATGATTCCACCCCGACAGGCCGCTGCGTTACAGCGCGGCCCAGGGTGCCTAGCTAGGACGCTGGCTATGAGGGTGTGTATGCACCGACGGAGTCACATACATCAGGTACCTACTCAGAACCAAATTGGGGAATCTTGAGGATGAACGACAGCTCACCTCGGCATCAGTTCTCATCGACTTCAAGGTCGATCGGCGCGAACGCGCCGATCCAGTGCTGGCGCGGTTCGAAATGACCAGGCTTGAAGTGGACTCAGCGGGCTTTAACATACGTGGCCAACTTCCAGCTCCTGACGCTGATTATATTTCGTGCTTTGGGAGTTGATACCCCCGAGCAGCGAAGCAATTGCAACCGCTCAGCCACCATATGCCCAGTGCCCAGCAACAATGCGATCAACTCCTGGAGCGTATGCGCAGCCATGGTCACTTGGCTGAGCGCCCCACGGGAAACATCAGCAGCATCTTCAGCGGACGCAGCGCTGGTGCCTGTCCTGCCGAAGGAAGCGACGCGCTGGCAGCCGTGCCGAACAGCATTTGGAACGATGGGGAGCCCGCTGAATCCGCGAATTCTGGGCCTAGGAGACGATGGCACGCGGGCTTCTGGCTCTCACACTAGTGGGCCATCGGTTCCAGCTACGCGCCACCTGACGCGACCGCCCTCCTGAGGCTTCCCCAGCCAACAAGACGTAGCAGCCTTCGACTCTGGCGCCGACGCCGACGCGGTCTCCTTAACTGGTGCCGAGAACCTTGATTGGTCAGATCTACCCGCCGGTGGCGATGAGGCAACGCAGTGCTCACTTATTCCTAGGATGCCATCATGCCGCGAGAATGTGAGGGCAATTTGTGGGGAAACCAGTTAGGGGGTTTAGGCGAGCAGTACGTCGTTTCTTTTTTTCGTGAGGGTTAGGGTCGGTGGCAGGAGCAGGGGCCGCGGTCGTGGGCATGCCGCTAGCAAAGGGAAGGAGCACGAGCTAAGTCCGATGGATGAAACGGCATGCGTATGACGTGCAGTTCACTTGGGAGCAATGAGCGCGCTCAGGCGCAGTGTCCCAAGGGAAGCGGGACAAAAGGGGATGTGTCCGTATTTCTCGGCTCAGAGCAACCCTAGAGGACGTAGTTGAATGCGCCGACTTCCATGATCTCGACAACCTCCTTCAGGCCCGGTCAACTTCCGCCTGGTTCTTGATGGCTCACTTTGCCGAGGGCGCCATGTCGATCGAGCGCTGCGCCGACTTCCTGCGCGACGGGGTCGTGGAGCTCTGCGACGCGCCCTTCGAGCATTGGGCGGGCTCGCCTTGGCGCGGGCGTGTGCGGTGTGATTTGGACGAGGACGGCGATGGCGACTGTGTGTCCGAAGCGGGGGCCATGCCTGCCACTGGCGCTGAAATAGTGGAGCGACAGCTTGGGCGCGGGCGGGGGGGTACCCAGCCACTCCCAGCTCGGGCAGTTTTTGTCTCGCGGAGGGGGGGCGGGCTGCTGTGGGGTGGGGCCAGACCCGCGTCGACGCATTCATGCTGCGGGGCAAGTCAGGTCAGGCTCCCATCGGATCGGGGGCCCCTGCAGAGGCGACAGAGGCAGCAGTCGCCGTGGCCGCGGCGCTGCGGCCCACGCCGCAGCAGGCGCCGCAGGCAAATCTGGCAAACGTTGCTTGGGCACGGGCAGTCCTCAATTCTCGCGCAAGACAGGCCAGCCAATGGGCAGGGGATATGCCCAGTCTGCGGACCCCGCGTGCGGTGCGTGCTCCAGAGGATCGGGCTGGGGGAAGGGTTGCTCCTTTCTGGGAATGGTTACTCCTCTTCTGGCAAGGGTTACTCTTCCATCTCAGATGACGAGCAAGGCCCGCCCTTGGATATAGATGATGCGGGCATGGCTTGCTACCTGGAACAGGGCTATACTGCGGTGCAAATCCATCGTTGGTGGTCAATGCGACGCGTTCTCCGTGGCGCCAGTATTGCGCGATTGCACCATCGTGCCGCCGAGGCAGAGGCAGTGATGAGAAGCCCGCGTGCAAGCGCGACGTCATGACAGCCCGAACGGGCTGCCGCATGTGGCGACTCCCGCAAGGGAGCTGCGCCCAGGACAGGCAGCGGACTTGAAATAATGCCCAGGCAGGGATTTGGAGGTCGGGAATAGACCGAATGTGATCGAGTATGGTTCTCTGCGACAGCCGCGGGAACGCTCGGGCTGTATCGCAAAGAAGGCTGCCACCTTTGGAGGTGGCGCCGCGCCGTTGCCCACGCAACCGGTTGGCGCGCGTTCCGAAGGACCCCGGGCGGGTCCGGCCCATCGCGGCAGCTGGCCACCTTCTTTGCCTGCAGCGCGCGCGGGGAAGTCGGGTCAAGGAAAATCAAGCTTGGAAGCGGGCAAGGGCAAAGGGCCTGATCCTAAGGTCCAGTCAGTACCTGGCTTACCCTTCGATCCCGTGGCCATGCGGAATCTACGGGCGACTAGGGGCCTGACATCCCCGCACAACGGGATCTAGAGGAACAGACAGCCAGGCCATTGGGCCTACCCGGTCCACTGCCAGTCGGCAAACAGCCGCAGCCGCAGCCGGAGGGTATCCAGTTGTGAGACTCTCTGTCCATCTGCAAAGGCATCCGGTGGAGTGCCCAGTGTCGCACTGGCCAAGTTCTGTAGAGGCTCAGGTTTGGGGCCCGACGCAGTTCAGGCTTCTCCGTCTGCCGAACTCGCGTTCCCGCTTGCCGTTTTGACCACCTGCCGATCTTAGGTTTTAGGCTCCCGGGTTCATGTTTTTGCACTTGTGTGGCCCACGTGGCGAAGGCGAAGCTGTTCTCGTTGCGAGGGCGCAGCGCCTTGGTGCATCTTTGGTGCCCGCGCGGCTCCAGTATGCGCGTGGGGGCGTGGGGGCAAGTGCCCACGTGTGCCATGTTATTATCAGGCGGGTATTGGCCAGCCACTCCCTCCTTTGCCTCCTCCTCCTCCCTGTCCCTCCTTCCTATTGCGTTGTCTGCCTGAATATTTCGCTGCTTCTCCCGCTGCTGAGCTGCGTCCCATTGTGGGCCTTCTTGTAGCCGAACTTCACCTCGCCTTTAGCCCGCTTCTAGCTTATTTACAGCCCGCTTCTAGCTCGTTTTTTTTTTGCCCGTTTTGGCGAATTTCCAGCCCACTTTTAGCCCGCGCGCGCCCAGTCTTCGAGTCGCGCGCCCCAGAGGCCCGCCGGGGCTGCAAAGGCGACGAACGGGAATGCAGCCGTGGTGGCGAGATTACACAATCAACCGAACAGCATTAGAAACTCTCGGGCGACCGGGCATGGGACAACGTCGACCGGGCTCATTACTTCGCGGGGCGATGGCGCGGCGGAGATATGCCGGGGCACGGGGGGGTGCGGCGGAGATTCGCCGGAGCATTTCAGC